GGCAATCCCCTCAGCCCCTGGCAACCACTAATCCACTTTCGGGCCCTCGGATTGACCTATTCCAGACATTTTAGAGAAATGCAGTCACATAATAATATGGGGCCTTCTGTGTCTGGCTTCTTTCACTTAGCATCATGCTTTCAAGGTTCATTCATGTAGTAGCATATATCATTCTTTTTATGGTCAAATAATATTCCATTGTATGGATATGCCACATTTTATTTATCCATTCATCAGTTGATGGACATTTGGGTTGCTTCCACCTTTTGGCTATTAAGAGTAATGCTGCCATAAAAATCTGTGTACAGGTTTTTGTGTGAATATGTCTTTAGTTCTTATGGGTATATATCTGGAAATGGAATTGCTGGGTCATATGGTAAGTTTATTTTTAAATTTTTGAGGAACTGCAAATTGTTTCCACAGTGGTGACACTGCTTTATATTTCTAATAGTAGTGCGTGAGGGTTCACGTTTCTCCATATCCTCAGTAAAATTTCACATTTTTTGTTTTTCAATTATAGCCGTCCTGGGGGTATGAAGATGTATCGCATTGTGGTTTTGATTTGCATTTCCCTAATGACTAATGATACTGAACATCTTTTCATGTGCTTGGTGGCCATTTGACTGTCTTTGGAGAAATGTCTTTTAAATCATTTGCCCATTTTTTAAATTGGTTTGTTTCAGGTTTTGTTGTTGTTATTGTTGAATGGTAAGAGTTCTTTATATCTTCTGAATACTAGACTCTTTTTTTTTTTAAAGATTTTATTTATTTATTTGAGAGAGTGAGAGAGAGAGAGAGCACATGAGAGGGGGGAGGGTCAGAGGGAGAAGCAGACTCCCCGCTGAGCAGGGAGCCCGATGCGGGACTCGATCCCGGGACTCCAGGATCATGACCTGAGCCGAAGGCAGTCGCTTAACCAACTGAGCCACCCAGGCACCCCTGAATACTAGACTCTTGTCTGGTCTAAGTTTTGCAAAGGTTTTTTTTCCCTTTCTGTGGGTTTTCTTTTCACTTTTTTTTTTTTTAGATTTTATTTTTTTATCTGAGAGTGAGAGACAGTGAGAGAGGGAGCACAAGCAGAGGGAATGGGAGAGGGAGAGGCAGACTCCCCACTGAGCAGGGATCCCAATGTGGGGCTCGATCCCAGGACCCTGAGACCATGACCTGAGCCAAAGGCAGACACCCAACCTACTGAGCCACCCACGTTCCCCATTCTTTTCACTTTTTTGACACCATCTGATGCACAAAAGTTTTAAATTTTAATGGAGTCCCATTTATTTTTCCTTTGTAGCTTATGCTTTTGGTGTATTTAAGAAACTACTGTTCAATCCAAGGTCATGATGATTTGCAACTATGTTTCCTGCCAAGAGCTTTATCGTTTTAGAGCTTACATTTAGGTCTTTGATCCATTCTGAATTAATTTTTATGTATAATGTGAGACAGAGGTGCAAATTAATTCTTCTTCATGTAGATACCCCATGCCCCAGCAGCATTTGTGGTTTTCTTTTAAGTTAGATAGGAAAGGGGCACCTGGGTAGCATAGTCTGTTAAGCGTCCAACTTTTGGTTCCAGCTCAGGTCATGATCTCGGTGTCATGAGATGGCATCCAGAGTTGGGCTCCCTGCTCAGCGTGGACTCTGCTTGAGACTCTCTTTCCCTCTCCCCCCGCCCCTCTGCATGCGTGCGCTCTCTCAAACAAACAAACAAACAAACAAACAAACAAACAAATAAATAAAATCTTTAATAAATAAATAAATTAGATAGGAAAAATTAATTATACTGTCTTTATATTTGTCTATGTTGATACTTTTATCAGTGTTCTTTATTTTTTTGTGTGGATTTGAGTTACTGTGTCGTGTCCTTTCATTTCAGCCAGAAGGACTCTCTTTGGCCTTTCTTGGAGGGCAGGTCCACTAGAAATGAATCATCTCAGCTTTTGGCTATCTGGGAATTTCTTCATTTCTTTTTTATCTTGAAGGAGGGTTTTACTGGAAATATAATCCATGGCTGACCTTTCCCTCCAGTACTTTGAAGATGCCATCTCACTGCCTTCTGGCCTCCATGGTTTCTGATGAGAAATCAGCTGTTAATCTTGTCCAGGAACACTTGTACCAGACGATTTGCTTCTTTCTTGCTGCTTTAAAGCTTCCCTCACAGTCTGACTTTTGATAGTTTGATTATGAGGTGTCTGTGTATTTCTTTGAGTTTATTCTATTTGGAGTTGAACTTCTTGGATATGTAAATTAATGTTTACTCATCAAATGTGGAGAGTTTTCTGCCATTATTTCTTTGAATAGAAGTTAACATAATTTCATTCATCTCCATAGGATAATGGGACCTGAGGGCGTTTGGTCTATTCTCGTGAACACTTTTGTGGGAGGATCATGAGCCCCATTTTCCTGATTGGAAATGGAAATAATAAAGATCCCATCGAATGCACAGTGAGGTAAAACACAGTTCTCTGGCTCCTGGGTGCTGAATTTCTTCCTAAGCCATCCATTTTACTGAGCCTCAGACTGGGTCCCTCAGCTACCCCATCACCTGTGGTGGCAGCAGAGGGACACCATAGAGGCTCAGCTCTGCTTCAGAGGTCCCTTCCTTACAGGCAGGCCTGACCCTGGAGCTGAAGACCACCCGTGTCAGATTCTGGAAGGGCAGTGGGAGTTGCTCATTGACGCCCATAGAACTTCAGTGTCTCTGGTTCTTTTCATTCAGGAAGAGCCCTGAGGAGAGCCCTTCCCCACTTGCTTCCACTCATCATCTTCTTCTCTCCATTCCTGGCTGGTTCCAGCTCCTTTGCCTGGCATTTAGTGTCCTCCTCTTTAGACACACTGCTTGATAAGATGAGTCATTCAAAACAGTCTTTATGTTCTCCTAATGTTCTTCAGGTCACAGGAACCTCCACATCTTTGTAGTAAAGAATTTAACCTTGCCCCAAGAGAGGTCTGGCCCTTGCCTTCAGCTTCTGGGAGGTAATCTCTAAGCCTTTGGAATGTCATGCCTGATTACAGTGTCTTTATTTGCCTGGGGGCTTTGGGCCAGCCAGATAGTAACACTGTGATTTTTGGATAGGGGCTTTGGGTCATGCAATATCAGCTTGATCTCCTGAGGGGCTGGAAACTGAAGTCAGCCACATGAGCAGTCAACCGTGTCTATGCAATAGGACCCCTACAAAGAGTGGACACCAAGGCTCGGGTGAGATTCCCTGGTTGGCAATATGATGGGCTTATTGTCACATAGTAATGCCTGGAGAATACTGCTGTCCTGACTCCACAGGGAGAAGACAACTGGAAACTCTATGTTTGGAATTCTCTTGGATCCTGCCCTATGTCTTTCCTCCCTTGGCTGACATTAATCTGGATCCTTTAAGTATAATAAAACATTACTTGAGTATAAAAGCATTTTGTGAGTTCTGTGAAGCTTCCTAGCAAATTATTGAACATAAGGATAGTCTTGGGAACCTCCAATCTTGCCATCGGTGTTAGAGGTGTGGGTGGTCTTGCGGACTGTCCTCTGCCTCTGCAGTGGCAGCCCCTGGAAAAGAAGAGTGTCTTATTGACTACTTTGCTGTGGCCAGGAAGGAAGCTGATTTTCTTTCCTGAGCTTCCGGGACTCTCTACTTTCTTATCTTCTTTCCCTCTAATTCTTGTAGCTCCTTTTCTTCTTAATTACTTCTCTGCCTTTTTCTCCTTCTTCCTACTGGATAGGAATCTTGGAGGACCTCCTTCTGAATGTTAGAGGGTCCCCTCTTCAGGATTTTCTGAAGAAGATGGCTCTACATTGTCTGAGGACCTAGGTCAAACAGGCTTCCGTGCAACAAAGGGAGGATGCACACCCCGGGAACCACTAACAGCAAAGCTCCTGCATCTGTCAAGAGCTTTATTAATTGCACATGTACATGAGATCCAAGTAGCCCATCTGGCTGGCTGCCTTGAGCTAGGTCTGCCTGTTTGGGAGGCTGTAAGTACCTTTCTTCGCACTTTGGGTATCAGCATCTTTACTCCAAATGCTAGTGAGTTTCACTGACCTTTCTATAACAACACTGGTAAAGGTTCTATAACCCAAGATTTAAAAAACATAAGGGAGGGTTAATAAAGAAGTTATACACTATATCCTAAAATGAACATTATTCATAAATCAGTGAAATACATATTTAAATTTATATACATATATAATATTCATATATATCTGAAACTAGGGAACTAATGAGACTCTTAGGCACATAGTAATGGCTAACATTTCAGGAACGCCTACTCCATTTCATCTACTATTCTAGCTGCTTTGAATGGACTATGCTATTTAATCCTTAGAATAACCCTATGCGGTGGGAACTGTAATTAATTGACAGATGAGTAGGGTGAGGTTCAGAGACCTTGTCTGAGTTCACACAACGGTGAGGGACTAGAGCCAAGATTTGAATGCAGGATCCCATTCCAGACCCTGTACCTTACTTTTAACCACCTGCTCCCTTCCTGCTAGGGGTACAGGTTCTGTTCTGTACTATTTGAATTCTCTTCTTTGATCATCTTGGTTCTTCCTTAAAGCAGGGCTCATGCAATTTTAATTGGAATCCTGATAAAATAGGGATTTTATTGCTTGGCTGATAAAACTACTGTAGAGTTTTTTTTTTTTTTTAGGTTCCTGATGTGCAGTTGCTCAGCATTCTTACTGTTGGCACAGAGCACTCATCCAGCTGTTATTCCACACACAGTGTTGTGCAATTGGGCAGCAGGGATTTCTACTAAATCCCTCTTTCCTTTCCTTGATCTTTCCTGGGTTACATTGGCAAACAGCTCCTGCAAACTGCCTATACTGGACTGGTAGATCGGTGAAGGCTCAGTCCCTTCTAAATGCCATGCCCTGGTAGTCTGGTCTCTGGTTCAGACTTCTTCAAGTGCTGTAATCATTAACTCCTGCAGGAAGCTCACAAGACGGATTATCTATCAGAGCATCTGCTTCTGCTCAAGCGAAGTAGACACAGCGACTACTGAAGTCCTGAGATGGAGAGAAATCAGGAAAGAGATGGCGGTGAGGGGGTGGCAGGATGGGAGCCAGGTGGTGGGGGGCTAAGGCTGAGGAGGGAGATTGGCCTGTGGAGTGCTGTGTCCCTGATTGCTGGCTGTGTGATTGGCTCTGGCATCTTCATGTCACCACAGGGGGTCTTGGTCTACATAGGCAGCCCTGGGGCCAGTCTCGTGGTCTGGGCAGTCTGTGGTGTCCTGGCCATGATGGGTGCCCTGTGCTATGCTGAGCTGGGTGCTCTGGTTCCCAAATCCGGGGGGGAATATGCCTATATCCTGCACATCTTTGGCTCCTTGCCAGCCTTCCTGGTCATCTACACGTTTGTGCTGTTGGTCAGACCAGCTGCCATTGCTGCTGTCTCTCTGAGCTTTATTGAGTATGCAGTCGCTCCCTTTTACCCTGGCTGCTCCTCGATGCCTCAGGCTGTGCTCAAGGGTGTGGCTACCATCCTGTTGCTGATGCTGGTCAACTGCTGGAGCTCGAGGCTGACCACCATGCTGATGAATGTAGGCACGGTCGCCAAAGTGTTCTCGTTGTTGGTCATCATGGGGGGTGGGGCTGTGGTGCTGGGCCAGGGCCATGGCTACACGGAAGCCTTTCTCTTTGCCTTCCACAATACCACGCAGCAGGCCGGGCGCATTGGCATGGCCTTCTACCAGGGCCTGTGGTCCTTTGATGGCTGGAATAATGTCAACTACGTGGTGGAGGAGCTCAAGAAACCAAAGGTGAGTTCATGATACTTCTTCAGGGTGTGAAGTCTCCAGACACTAGCAGTTTCAAGTATTGAGCTGACTAGGACCATGAGACATCGGCTGAAAATGGGGGCTCCCTTCTTGCAGTAATGAATGCCAGCCCACCGTCTACCTTAATTTGTTTATGGAATTATGTGAATAATAACTTCCCAAGTGAGCACGGAACTTTATAGGATCACACCTGAGGTCTCATTTGCCCTGTGAGGTAGGTACTCTGCCTCCATTTTTCACATGGGAAAACTGAGGTGTAGAAAAGGGGAAGTGATTCTGAGGGCATATGACTAGCAAGAGGCCATGCTTGATGACTCAGCTTGTTATCTATCTTGATAGTTGGAACATGTGGACTCTTGAGTTATCGTTACAACTCTTTGCACCAAATGTATTTGCTTAGGTTGCTGCTTTTCTCTTTTTCTTTCTTTCTTTCTTTCTTTCTTTCTTTCTTTCTTTCTTTCTT